TTGTTGGGGGTCGCTGTGAGCGAGGAGTTGTTCTTTGCGTTTTTTCAGTTGTTACCATAAAAGGAAATTTTCAAAAAGTTGGAGTTTTCAGGAAAGAGTCCCTTGATCTAATTGTTCTTGTTGCTATTTAGAAGTTGTCCTATGAATATAATGTTATGTTTTTTTAGGCTAGAACAGATTTTCTTGTAGAACTCTGGGTCTGTAATGTCTTCAATGGTGGTATCCATTTTCACGATGGTTTGGAAATTGCTATGTTGTGTTTTTTGAAAGGTGAAGCCGTATGTTCTGGGCAGCCAGATTGTGTCATGGATAAGGTTCCTATCTAGTTTTAGGAAGAGGCCTGTATGCTATTATAAATTTCTTTGACGGACCAGTATATATTTTGTAGTGCTTGGAGTTGATGTCTCACATTTTCTCATGTGATGTTTTGTTTGTTGATCCTGGTGCACCAGTTGCTTGCATATAACTGTATCTATCTGTCCTATATGTGTATAATGCGGTACTTATGCTTATTATAGAGCATATTGTTTGGGACTGTGTTTGCAAGACCTATCTTGTGTTTGAAAGTGAAAGCTATCTTGCTCATTAACTAGTTGCATGTTTGTTTTGTCAGTATGATATCATTGCATAAGTATTCAATGCTAGGCATCAAGACATGATTGATAATATATTGGGCTTGTTTGTCAGTTACTTTTTTCATGCCTATTAGTGTTTGTATGTTAGCTACTTTCTGTTTATAGATATTTTTGATAGTCTTTTCTTCCTGAACTATCATACCATACCCCTAGGATTCTGACTGGTATGTTGAGAGGGTATCCCTTGATTCTTTGATAATTTATTATGACTCCTTGCTAGAAGTTTTCTTCAGAAGCATTGATGATTATTAGTTATGATTTTTGGGGATTGATTTTAATGTCATTTATATGGTAAAATTCTTTAGCAGTATATATTATTCTCTGAAAGTCTGCTCTGCTGTTTGTTATCCATGTGGTGTCATCTATATAGGTGCTGACTGCAATGTTCGTTGACTTCTTTTCCCATCTAGTTTTAAGGTTTGACATACTTTTGAGTTTATTGTATAGCTCTTGTGCTGGGATGTGACCATGCTTAGTAATGGGTCATAGAATATCCTCCAGAGTATAGGGGATATGGTGTCTCCTTTGTTTATGCCATTTGTGACTTGATAACACTTCATTAAGCCATGGTAGATTAGAACTCTATTCTCTCTATGCTGGAAGATGTTGTGAAGGATTTTATTGATTTGGTTTGGCATCTTGATTCTTTGTAGGGCTAGTTCTAGCATATTAAGGTTAATTGAGTCATATGCCTTGGACATGTCTTGGTTGAGAATCCATGCTTGTTGTTTATATTCTTTTGTATATTCTATTATACTGCTGAGTATGTGGATTGAATCTTGGATACTGTTTCCTGGAAGGGCTGCCCAATTTAATTCTGATAATATATTGCCTTCAGTCAGGCATTTGGCTAGTCTTTCTGTAATAATATTGTTGAAGATTTTTTTTCCTGCATTCAGCAGTGTAATTGGTTTGATAATGTCAAGATCATTTGTCCAGTCTTTCGGCTTTGGTATTGAATAGATATATTCTCTGCTTCATTCTCTTGAAGTGTTTTCTTGCCTGATAATGGTATTAAAGATTTGTTATAGTTCCTCCTTGATTCTTGTTTTCATATGCTTATAAGCTATGCAGAGAATTTGGTTTGGGCCTGGAACAGACTTGGGGCTGTGATGTTGAATTGTTGCCTCTAGCTCTGGGATAAAGATCTCCTCGATAAGATTTTTATATATATACTATTTAATGTTTGACTTTGGCCTATATTCTTTTTGCCAGTGTAAATGGTTCTCAAGGTTCTGAGTATTTCTAGGTGTGGTCTAATTGTAGAAATGTTCTCTTGTTCTTTGATTTATTTCCTCGAGGTCTGTAATTATTTGTACTGTGTCTTTCTATTTTATGATTAACCTATCTAGGTATATACATTTTTTGGATCTTTCCATGATACTGTTTATCATTGCTCTCTTGTTATTGTTAAAGTATCCTTGTCTAATTTGGATTCTTTTCTTTATTGCTATATTCTATCTTCTATGAGTAATGGCTTTGGCTATTGTTTTGTGGGCTTTTATATTATTGTGTATTATTTGGATCCATTCGTCGATGAAGGAGATGGGATGGGTAGCTCTAAGATTGTTTAAATGTGCTATCATGTCAGAGAGACTGTCTTGAATATCTTGAGGAATAGTGGGCTATGTGGTATGTTACTCTTGGCTGGCTTCTCATTTTCTTTTTTTAGTTATGTTTTAAAGTGCAGGAGTTGGATAATAAGAGATTCTGTTTCTGTATAATATAGTTGTTGTCTGTTTTTGCAATTTGTTTTCTTTCTCCAAATATGTTGGTTTGCTACTTTCTGAATGATATTACAGAAGCTGTTCCATTTTTGGTCCATTGATTGGTTGTTTTTGCTTGTATTCTGCCATTAAATTTCTTGTTCTATTTGTTTACTGAAATCTTTCCATTGCTTTGATGTTGTAAGTTGCCAATTGTACCTGTAGTTGGGTTTGTGAATCAGTGTTTGCTTGGGTTTGTCTAGACTCCAGACCTCTATTTCAATTATCATAGGAATGTAATCACTTTGGATTAGAGGATTAGTACAGTTTTCAATTGTCACACTTCTTGACTGCCAGGTTGCCATGGAGTTGATTCATATTTGATCTATTCTACTGCTCTGGCTCCTCTGTTCCAGGTGTACTCTCTGTTTACAGGATTGTGTATTCTGTATGTGTCCTCCAGTCTATTATTGATAAAAGTCAGGATTTGTTTGTCTGAGGGGTGCAATGTTTAGGCTTCTCTTTAGAATCGCATCTATCTAAGGCTGGGTTGTGTACCCCATTTAAATCACCTATTACGATGAAGTGCCAGCTGTTCGCAGTTACTTCTGTTATTCATTTGGTGAGGGTATTCATTACAGTGGTCTTTTTCCCATTTGTATTCTGTGCTGGGAAATAGACACCTATTATTCGCATTTTCTCTTGGTGTGGGAAAGCTAGGTCCATAGCAATAAGTCTGCCTGATAGGGTTTTGTATTTGTATATCCGGTGCACAATGTCTTTGTTTATCATCATGTTGAGACCTTGACCTATTATTTGTGATTCTTTGTGTGTCCAAATGGTCTAGTACTTTTTGTGTTGCCAGTGCTTGAAAAAATGGTGTGAACCATTAGTTTCTGTGGTACTATAATATTCCAGGCCATTGCTGCGCAGAAATTGAACCAGGTGTCTCTTTTGTGTAGTTCTGATATATCTTGTATGTTAAATGTTGAGAGTTTTTAGATGGGTTTATGCTTGGTGGGACTGTTTCTGGTGTTGTGTGTCGCATTATGTATTTCATCCGTATTGTTTCTATTGATGTTTTTATTTTTGATGTGTGTTTTTTGAGAATAATCATGGCTTTAATAGTTTTCTGTGTCAATGTATTGTGTTTCTAAATCCTTTTGGTCATTGATTGTAACTTTGTTAGAGTTGTTGTTACTGCTGTTGTGGTTCCCCATGTTTATAAATGTTGATTGTTGTGTGTTGTGTTTCCTCTATTATTGGGGATTAGGTCTGAGATAGTACTGACTCGGGCAGTCATTGTCCTATCCATGTTGTCAATCGATGTTCGTAATTGATACTGTTGCTGTTGAATATTGTGCATCTGACTGTCTGTATGTTCCAAGCTATCAGTATCCTGGGTTTTTTGTGGGTCGTCGTCCATGTTAAAGTTGTAATTCTCATCCCAATTTTTAAGTTAACAATTCTTTCGTCTAGTTCTGTTACTGCTTCTTTAATGTTAGCAATCTTCTTGTATGTTGTAAAGGATTTGATGCAAAGTTTCTTCTAAATTGCTGGATGTTGTATTGGGTCTTGCTTTGGATCTGGCTGCTACTGCATAGGAGCCCAGGCCTATGGATTTTGTGTTGTTTTTCCTCTCTACTAGCCTTCTGATGCTTGTAATTTTGGCAAGTTTGAAGAGTATATATAGTTGACCAAACCTCTCTGCTTGTTCTTGTTTATAGTTTCGCTATTGTTGTCTTCTTTCTTTGATATAACAGTCTTTTGTCAGGTACGAGGCGGCGTCACATATAGCACATAGTTTGGTGTCTATTGGCTGCCATTTGATGATTGTTTCTCCAAGGGTGTAGTTTGTCATAGTGGCTAGTTGCATGTCTTGCTCATTTTCAAAATTGATCACAGCATAGTATTTATATTTGTAGTTTATTTTTCGGGAAATGTAGCATGTTTTGCTTCTTGTTTGTTGATATATATGCCTCAAGTCAAATGCATTCGTGTTTGAAGGAAGGTTGATAAGTTTGAGGGAGAGGTTGCCTCTATCTTTCATTTGTTGGAGGGACCATTCTGAGTCAAATATTTTGAGTGAATCTACTTTGCACTGGATGCTCCAATTTTCCAGGAGCTTACACTTGTCTATGTTTTCTGTATACCTAATGGTGGCTGACTACCACATACATTGTGTTGCAATTGAGATATTGCTGAGCTGGCCAAATTTTGCGAAGGTCTGTTGTATATTATAAAAAGTTGTGTCCAGGAAAATGTTCCAGACTGTGACACTATTCACCTTGTTGATTATATTTCTCGTGTCTGGCATGTGTCTCATTGTTAGGTTGTCCATTTCTGGTAAGTATATGCTGCTGGCGTTCTCGGATGATTGTGAATCTCTAAAAAGGGTAGTGATAAACTTCTGATTATCAGATTTCTCATTGTGAATACTGATCAGATCTTCGGGGAAGTTCAGAGTCTTGGATATGTATGTTATCTTGTGATATATGAGTTTGCCAAGGATTTTTCCAGCCTATATGCCGAGTTTAGTTCTCTCGTGCCTGTATCTCGTGCTTCTGTTGAAGGGTGACCTTGGGCGGGATCTGCTGTTTTGGGACATGTTTCTACTTTTTCTTTGATTTTTCCTTTGTTTGGTTAGGAGGTCCAGTCTTCGTGCCATTCGTTTGCGTCTCTGGCTACTTCTTCTTGGCTGGTCTCATTTTTGTTTTTCAACCTCATTTCTGTGTCTGAGCCTGTCAGGTCCATGGTCATTCATGTGGTGTATGGTTTGGTCCAGAGTTCTTTTTCCATTTCGCGTGGTGTGGCTGTGCCTGTACATTTGTTTACTGAGTCAGCTTTCTTTTCAAAGCTATCACTCTAGGATAATAAACTGGGGTCATCCATTCTTGTGAAGGCTTGGAAGCCATGGGCCTGAAGTTGTTGCATTTGAAAGGAGGTGGGTTCCAAATCCACTGGGTTTTCCTTCACTGGTCTTGCAGTTTTTTCCATACTGTTGAGTTTCTTTTCTGCTATTGTCTGTTTGAGTGTGGCTCTAGGACTGGCCAGGCCCTTTGATAGGACTTCCTCATTGTAGTTTAAATGAGAGGTTGCATTGTGGCTATGAATCATCCTTTGCAAGTACATTCTTTTTTGTTTTTTCCAAGTGTCAGTGGGAGTGTTTGCTATATCACCGATGTGTAGGAAAGAGTTTTTTTATTTGATGAAGTATAGAATATAATATATAATAAGTCTTTAGAAGTTAAACTTGTTTCATTGCAATGAGGAGATACATAATCAAATAATAAAATAACTTATTGATTTCTTTTTACCATTTGTGATTTAAATTAATCAAAAATTTATTTTAAACTTGTGTTGTTATCTAAGCAGTTTTATTCCAATAATAATTAATTAAAATATTTGCTTTATTAATATTTCTTAATGAATGAGATAATTTATATTGATAAATTAATGAAGAATGAATATTAATAGTTCTAATAAAAATTAATTAAGTTATTATAAAAAGTAATATATTTAAATATAATAATAATTTTAATATCGGTAACATTTAAACATAACAAAATAGTAACTCTTTGTTTGTCTTTTTTTTTTTCATCAATAATTTTTTTAGTTAAAGATTTCCTTGGTTTTATTTTTCAATATAATGTAGTTTTATCACACTTGAAAATATTTTCAATACTCTGATTTTATAATCAATTTTGTAATTCTATTCTATCTTTTCTAAAGATGCACTGCTTCCTTCTTCACTATACATAAATTTTTTTAGATCATTTCTTCTTTTAAAATTACTCAACTATCCTTCAAATGCCTTAAAATTATTAATATCAAGAAACTTGACAAATTTTTGTACTTAATAAGTTAGAATAAATCCAGTTATTGTAACATGTAATATAAGTGCAGTATTAACCTATATCATTAATGATTTTTCCAATAATAAATATTTAGAACTTTTCATTATTCTTGATTTAGCTTCATGACTATTGAAATCAATATTTGTTAAATATTTTTTTT